TTGTTAAAGCCAAGGGGCGAACTGTCTGAATCCATTAAGGATGAAAGGAAGGTAGTTAGCAGGAAAAAGAAATCTCAAAGGTATTTCCAAAAAAGGTTGAGGGGTCATTAAGGCACTGGAGAAATGTAAGGTTATTTCTTTGGCAGGCCATCTAAGTATTTTTATTCATTTCTTTAAGCGGCTGCTCTGAACAGGGCACAGCTTTCTCTGTTCTTTAGCCCACTGAACTACTAGAGAGATGCTGTATTTTGGGGCCAAAGTGAAACCTCACCTTGTGCCCAAGACTGAAGCCTCACCAGTACCTGGCCTTTAGCAGACGGCGAGATCACGTCTACATCTATGCCGCGCTTTGTCTGTTCCATACCTTCCTCCCACCTGGCAACTCATAAAACCAAAGTGATGCTTAAGATGAAGCTGAAAAGAGAACGGCGATTCTGCAGGCTGGCCCCTTCTTGCTGACTCAGCCAACTGGGTGCTCAGCTAATTTCCGCCGTGCTACAGAAGCTTCCTCACAGTGGAGGCGAGGAAATATTTTTAATTGATTAGAGCCTCCCAGAAAGCCAAAGCTAATTTGTCAGTTCTCAGGTGAGCTGTTCTAAAAATCATGTTCTCTGGTTGTACAGATACATCAGAGCTAGGCTGGGATGGCTCTCCATCACTCCTGTTCAGGCTGCATCAGTCGCACATACATACACTTTTTGGGGGAAGAACAACTCCCTCCCCTGCAGGAGTGTGCTGCAGTTGTGGGTGAACCCAAATGCCATTGATTTAAAAGGAAAGCAGAGCTGAAAGGGTCAGTGACCTCCAGCTCAGAAAATCTGGAGTCCAGTTTCAAGGCATGAGACAAAGTTGAAAGACTGAAATAGACTGACTTCAAAGGGGAATAAAGTGAATATTGTGAGAACAAATTATACTCTGACTTACCACACGGTCTATTCTATTTTGGTGAAGAATAACTTAATTTGATATTATGCTTATAGCTTCACTTTAGAGAGACACTGACAGGTGAGGACAGACAAAAAGAAAACTAGGGACCTGTAGGGGACAGACTGGCTGGAGCAGACTGGAAGGGAAACCTGATGGCCGTGATGCTTGCTTATACAAAACCAGGAGCGTGAACTGGGCCACACGGTGTAATTAGAGGATGTAAAGAATAGAGATAAACTTTAAAATCTGAATAGGATGTGATGTTGGAGGCTACAAAGGTGTAAAAACTGAATAAATACACAAAAATGAAAGCTTTGGATAGATACTTTTTCTTTGTTTAAACAAAACCTGAATGAATGATTCAGTTTCTTTTACCTGATAAAGACAAGGACAGCTATCTAGAAGAAGAAATCAAAATTACTGTATACCTCTGTCAAAAAAATCCCCAAAATATAGGTCAAACATCTTTTCCTTATGTGCAAAAGTGCTTTCAAATGTTTAATTTTATTTTAGTGTCTTCCAATATGCAGCAGGGTGCTCAATGATCAGAATAAGCCTCAACAGTGTTTATAGAAGGAATATGGATCCTTTAGAACACTGAGAACTTTGTATAATATAAACCAAACAATGGTTATGCCACAAATGTATTTGAATTATAATAATAAAAATAAAAGACATTTATCCAGAATCCACTGTCAATATATTTTTCTTATTTTAAAAACAACCCAACATTCTCAGCATCCATGTGCAACATACACATGCACGATAACAGAGTGCAAAACATCTGCAAATAGACAAGGAAAAGGGATTGTGGAAATATTTCTGCAGATTTTAATACACTTTGGATTAGGCCCTTTAACAGTAACTGTGTTATGTGACATGGGCATTTGCCTTTGGAACCTCATGCCAGGTCAAGTAATTGCATCTAGGAAATACAGTTTCTGTTTCTTCTCAGGTCTTCTGTGGTCACATTTTTGGAAGATCAATTTTGACAGTACTCATTTAAATGTTTCCTTACTTCATAATAAAAGAAGGATGAAAATGGCCCACAGAAATCTCAGGAGAAACGTATGAATTCAATCATAGTGAGAAATGTGAATTAGACCCTTTTTTCTGTGTACTTACAGGGAGGTAATCTTGCCCACACTCAGGAATACGTTTTATGTCTTTCTCAGTACATTCCACAGTCTTGTACTTTATCTCTAGATTTTTTACGATGATAGAGCCATAATGAGCAGGACTATAGTTAGAATAAAAAATCTAAGATGTTCTATTCCCATAACCCTAGGACCCGCGATTTTGAGAACAGCACCAAATATCACAAATCTTGTGGTGAAGCAGAAGAGATGGCAACACTCAGTGACACAGACAGCACTGTACCGTGAGGCCGTATGTTACGTTCCACTTACTCCCTACCTTTCTTTTGCTAGAAATAAGCACATGGAGAATGTATTTAACCACCATTTCCCAACAATACTGACTGGCAGCAGCTACCTTATGACAAGCAGTCATCTTCCCATGCTGCTTTATTCAAGGGATTTCCCAAACTATTTTACCTATCAATCAGTTTCACAGGGTCTGGAAAATAGGTGTAATGAAATAGCAACAGTCTGAGAGATCCTACAGCAGGGCTGAAAATAGGGGTCATTGACAACAGTGGCTGAAGTGAATAGAATAAGAATCCATGTGTACAAAATAGGCTAGCGACATTAGTCCCCTGTGCACATGTACTCATTACTTTCTTACAGATAACAATTTCCCTCATCATAAATACTGGCCTTTTAGTAATACAATATGGCATCATCAACTCTCTCATCCTTTATCAAGCAGTACATTTTCATATGATTTATATGCACACATTTCTTACAGTGACAATTGGCATCAAGATAAAGGCAGACAAAAAAAATCTATTACAAAGCAGGACAAGAACCACCTCTTCGCTTGATATTTCATTAATAAGCAATGCACAGCTGCACTACTCATGTCTCAAAATAATACAGTCGCTAAACACAACAGTGTGGATTGAAGAAGTCTTTACCTCATGGTAAGACAGCAAACTGGACCTTCACCTTTGATTTTGAAAGGATGCCTATTGCACATATTGCCTTGAGATTCAACAGAATCAACAGAGAGAATGACAAAAGATATCCCTCCAACTTGTCTTTCAGACCTAGTTCTTTACCTATCAGGTTTGGATCTCGGAGAGAACTTCAAGCTCTATTTTACACTCAATAAATCTATTTAGTGGATATGCCAATACCCCCTAAATAATGACATTTTAATTTGCCGGGGGACTGAATGTAACCCTTGCATTACAGCTACCACAAACAGACTAAGCCCAGCAAAGAAGCAAACACAAGGGGCCTGTTAAGATGGACCTTGCATAGTAAGTAAGAAGTCTGGACTGGCCTGGGCTGGGATGGAGGGAGGAAGAACAGGGCATTGCCCCAACGCAGTGTGCTCAAAGTTTTAACTAACTGAAGGAGAAGTTACAAAGTTTCAAATTCTTTCTTCACTGTGTAAACACAGTTACCTAAATCGGGAAATGTGCAGTCAGCAAGGTGTACAACCCCTGTAAGACTTGTCAGTGACCTCAAAGATTCCCTAAACTGGAACACTAAAAGTGGGAAACAAAGTTAGACCATCTCTATCTAATACTGCTACACTGACCCATCTTTAGGTCACCGGCTGGGAAAAGTCCAGTTTACAGAATGACAAGTACTTTGAATTCATGTCTCATCTTTTTAAAAAACTTACACTGATGATATCAGTGTTAACTACTATACACGTTATTACCGTGGCATTAAAATTCTGTTTATAAACACTTCTCTTTCAATAGTGTACTCATGGTAATCAAATAGGAATCAGCTACTCTCTCTTTTAATGCAACTCCCTTCTATTACAGACCAACATGGCATACCAACTCTTTCACAAATGTGTCAAAAAGAAGGTAAATATTTTTGCTCCCATAGCTCTTCCCAGTGAGCTGTTCCAGGCCCTCACTCTCCATGCTGGCAAGGTTGAACAATTCACCTCTTTTCACAGGCCCATCAATTTATTTGATTTTATTAACAGCCCTGCGGGATAAATTTTCCCAGTTTCTGTTCCTGTTAGTGAACATGTGTGTTAAGAATTGCACTCAGTCTTCCAGATAAGGTCTTACAAGTGTCTTGTATATGACACTGGTAATTCCTTATCTCTACAGGCAATGCCAGAGGATGCATCTTAGGAGTGCATTTGCCTTTTTTATAGATGCATTAGATGTGTGGTTTGTAATAATCCTGTGATCACCAAATAAAGCCCCATTTTGACACCCTCCCTCAGCAATTATTACTACTGGTTATTGATGAGGCTCTATGCTGCCACATTTTATCCCATTTCTGGTTTTCCAGCCTTCATAATCACTAGATTTTTCCTGTTCGACATTCCGAGCCTACTCAATTATGGTAATGATCTGCCACCTTCGTGTTATTGGTACCGTTCTATGTTTGCGGTTAGCGTTATTATTGACAGCATTAGAAAACGAATCTGCAAGGAGTTCTGTAAATCTCTGTCTTCCACTTCTGTTTCTTGCCCTTGCTGCTGTATTTCCATTCTTCCAGAAAACCGATGTAAAGCAATTACTTATAACTTCATGAACAACAGTGTGTCTTGCATCTGCAGAAGTAATTTATATGGGGTAGTGCAAAAGGTCCATATTTTTGTCAGACTGCCACAGACCCCTGGTGACTGATATGGGTCAACAGGAAAGATTAAGTATCTTCAGCTGCTTATAAAGGGTGCAACTCAAATATAAATGCTTTCATATTAGAAACAAATCCAAATAAAACAAATAACTGCTGGAAATTTTGCAACCATTTGCTAAATAAATCCATATCCATCCAGCTATACTTGCAACATGCAGGCAAATTTTAGGTAGTTATTTAATTTCTTTCCATCAAAATACTCAGTTTAAATATTCATTATTGCCTTGAAAGTTTTATGTTTAATCCTAAAATGATATACCAACATACACATTAAAAAATATCACAAGGAGAAGACTCCTATCAGACTTTTAATATTCTCCTACTAACCTTCGGTGGTTTAAAAGGATAGTCCGGTGAAAAGGTAATGTCAAGGAAGAAAACTCCACCTTCATATACAGACCCTGGAGGCCCCAGTATAGTTGACCTCCATTCATAAATGTTGTCTCCTTTGGGTCCAGCACTAAAATAGAAAACAAAAATATAACATAATAACCACATAGAATCAAGAATATACTGCATCAGTTATACTTTATTAGTAGTATCGCTGGTTTTGCAATAACGCTACAAGTTAGAATTGTGTATCACATTCATTAAGTTAGTCCCGGCTAAAACATGTAACTGGTGTCCTAAGCTCTGCCAGTGAAGTGATGTATTCAGCGAGGAAGAAGTATTAAAATCACTTTATAAATTATTCAAATAAGCACAGAAAAATTCCCGACTGTCTCATCTCAAATATTTTAGTGGGCAGATGTGAAGTATTTACAGTGCAAGGATACAGAGACTTTGCTGAGATGCCTTGTCACTGACTTGCCTCACAAGCCATCCTATTTTCACCTACCCCCTCATCCACCTACCTGATCAGTCAGTAGCAGTGTAATTACAGACATTATTATACAGCACGGACTGCACCAAAGACTAAGCAGGGTACAAAGCTGCGCTTTCTAAATTACTAATCTAAGGTCTCCGGTCACTACTACAGAAGGCTGCTTTACTCTGCAATCGTTACCCTATCTTAAAAATATTATAAACAGGACACGGGTTAAACTGTTGGATTATGTTAATTCAAAGTCCTTGTTTAAAAACACAGTACTGAAGCAATGTTTAAAGTATACAAAACATAATCCTTTATGTGAAACAAGAAAAATCTCTCAGGTCAATTCCTGAAAAAATAAAATTAAAACCTAATAAAAGTTCTTGGGCATGACTCTTCCAAAAGCCAACACAGCCTCCCTTCCTACAACATAACGCTCGTCCATAGAAATGCATATTTTACTCAGGGTGGCCTCTTAAGGAATACGAAGACTTCTTCTCAGTTCACAGCCTGCTGATACCAGTCACTGATACAGAACCTAAATTTTAATTAGGATCAATTGGGATGGTGACTTCCAGATATCTGATTAATATTATTCAGAGGAAGGCAGTGCTGGTAGATATTTCAAGTAAGTGACATGGTATTGTCTTAAGGCATGTCTTGTGAAACAATTCTTGTTATGTTTGCAATAAGGATTTCCACAGCATGCAGGGGTTTGTGAAATAACCCTGTGTGTAGAACAGATGAAAGCTCTTGGCTATGCTCCATGCCTCACAACGTACCCAAGGCATACAATTATTACACGACATCATGTCATGTTCACTGCTCAGCTATTCATTTTGTTCACTGAAAGTTAATAAAACCCTCTTTCACCTGAAATTCCTTGGGCTCCCTTCATTAAAACTTCTGACTGCGTGATTCCCTGCATACAACTGCGTGACTTAGTGCTGTGCGGTGTACTTCATTAGTCATGGTACCTACATCAATTTTCTATAATAGCTGTTAATGCTTCTTGGCTTTCTAAACTACGTGCTTTCTTAACAAAAATGGGTTGCAGAGACTGTAACATTATGGAACATTCATTTTCTATCAGCCATAGTAACAAAACTAGCAATTGTTTTAAAGATAAAATCTGGCTTTTTAAGTGTCACAATAGCAGAAGTGTTGCCATCCATATTTCACAGTGTCTATAATACATCAGGTTGCTAGCTGCCAAACAAATTTAATTTACCCAGTTCTCAGTTTGCATTAACCTTTGAATAATAAAGCACATCTGAGACTGCTGTAAGAAACAAACCAGAGAATGAATAATTAAAAACACCTTCACTGCCTTTAGAGAGACCAATCCCGAGTCAACAGGGAAGGTTTAATTGTGACTGAACTAGGCATTAAGGGGCTAATTGAACTCTTTATAAGCCCAAACGAATGTGGTCCTACATCAGTGCTATGGTATACAAGGTGCACAGAAAGTAAAACCCTTAAAAAAAAAAAAATCAGGCAATTGGTTCAAATAGAAAAGGCAAGAAGCAGGGGCAGTCTAAATCTTACATGAAAGAAGGCCGTAATATGTGAAGGAAATCCTTTTCCATTTTCTGCAGAAAAATGTTTTAATACTTGGAGAAGCAGTTGATGCCAGCAGGTTAAAATGGAAGTGATATAAATGTCGATCCCAGAGAAATGGTTGGCACCAGCAAGTAACGAAAGCAAGCCCTGTCCTTTTTACACCTTGTTCAGCCAGGAGGGGATGGTTGGGCCCTTTTTGGGTTTGAGGGAGGCTCACGTTTTTGGTCAGAACTCTCTCTGATAGTGGCATTTTCATAACGTATATTATTTTTATTTGTTTTGCCTATTTATTTAATTGCATTAACATTTGAAATGAGCAGTCATTAATTAGAATAGTTGGAAAATGCTCCATCTGCCAGTTGAACTGTTTCGGCACGTCCAGCTACAAGCCCAGCCTGATCATATTCTGAGGATGCTGATTAACATTAATTGAAGGTTTTCTTTGCAAATGAGAGATGAAGCTTTATTAAGTATTATTATTAATTTGAAGAATAGCTTGAATTGTATGGCGTGTGGGAACACTGCTGTTATCGACGTTGCCTGTTCGAGTGCTTGCTGGCAGCAAGGCTGTTCAGCCGATGTCAAATACCGATCCCCGTGCACAGGCAACAGCTGGTGCTAAGGGCAACAGCATGCACAAGCATAACATTTTTTTTTCACTTGCCCGTTAATAATACAAAAAGTTTGACAGGTGTATTATCTTTGTTTTCCTTCTTTCCTAATTGTTAAGCCTTTTATTTATCCACATTATTGGCAACCAGAACGACGACTCATCAGGCTTCACCAGAGAAAATTCCCATATGTGCAAGACCTCAGCCAGAGCCTTATTCTATAAGTTTATAATGCAAGAGGATTTAATTGCCCTTCTCTCTACATGGATATATGCCCAGCACACTGAAGCCCAAATGTTTTACATTCACTATGATTTATATTCCAGCTCTATTAACGTTACTGGCAACCAAACCACAGATCTCAAAGAAAGCAAACCAAACATCTCAGTGTCTGAAGTTCTGTTATCTTTGGAAGGACAGATTCAGATGTGCACCCGCTCGGCAAAGGGCAGATCTGTCTTGAACTCAACTGACCCAGGGCCAGAGCATACGCGTTGCTGCCTGCTACTAACCTGCTGCTAGAATCAGTCAGCTTCGGGGGAGAAGTGACAGTGGCGGTGGCAGCTCCCAGTGGCAGTGGCTGAACTGTGAGGGTAAGGTGGTTAGGAGAAGGACGGGTCTGCTGCCAGGCTGGCAGCGCAGCCTCCTGCTTTGAGCCCTGATGCTGAAACCCTAGCGGACCTGCAGGATGAGGCAAGCAAGGAGCTCAGCGAGAAGCCCCATGGTGAGACTCTGGTGCGGGTGCTCCCAGCTTTTCCAGTGGTTTCTCCCAGGTGGCATCTATAACCCAGGACCAAGGAGGTGCAGCTGAGCATAAACGCCCTGGAGACCTGACGTTATCAATGGCTTGTCAAGAGTTGACAGTCCAGAAGAATCTGGTAAGAATCCCTCTGCTGTCATTATTCCCCTGCAGCCGACGAGACGCTGCACAGAACGTGGCCTGGTTCACCCACTGGGAAGGCTTTGCTCACTGGAAGAGCTGGGGTGGGTGGACATGGAGCCAGCCGCCTTGTCTTCCAGAATGACATCGGTATGGGCGTATGAAATTCAGGCCAAAGTCATCAAAACATGTAAAATGCTCTCCTTTCTACTTCACTCGCCTTTGCCTCTCCTCACATATTTCAGCTCTGCCACCGCTTCCCACATACATGCTTGCAGGTGAAATGTGTGCACATCAGTTACAGTTAGTTGCAAAATACTGTACATGCTGCTATAACTGAATTCATTTTGCTTTAAATATGCTTAATGCACTGAGTATCTTCTACTCCCTCAACGTGCTTTAGGCAGGCAGTCACTTGAAAGTAATGCTGCTAAAAACTGCTTGTCCGGTACAATCTGTTATAAAGATCATGCTTTCCCTGCATTTAGAATACCCTGAAATATTAAATTTAAAATGGTGTATTAGGACAGTTGTATGAAACCAACAGCATCTATGAGACATACCAGACGAAAACCTATCTGGAGGAGTTTTGACAGTACAGTTGACTTTTAGTTTAGCTGTGATTGTATACAAATTTACTCAATCTCCAGAGAATAACTCAAAAACTAAAAATACAGAAATTCAAAGAAATAACAGTATCCCGCTTGTTTATCAAGCAGTCACGTGGAATAAATCAGTCAAAATAATATTAATATTTTCTAATCTAACTTAAGTTTCTCGATGAGGGATCCCTTACTTCCCCAGCATCTGTAACTGGAGGTAACATAACCTTACACTGTAGAAAATGAAGACTAGTTCAATGTCTTCCCTTCCATTCATGGTCTCTGAATCTTGCTGGTATCCACTTTTAAAGCATAACTGTACTCTTTAACAGAAAGGAAAGGGAAGCCTATAGCACAAAACAAAGTAGTAAAAAAAGGAATTGCAACTTAAATTGCCTTCTAGTTCCAACATGCTAACAGTGTGTGTGGGGAAGTGATCAGGCCAAATAAAACAGGAAAGCAAGGTGGCTGGGAAGCCTCCCCATTCCTCAGGACTCAGAAAGAAATGGAAAGGTTCTTCTGGACTATGTAAGTTTAAGTTCATTTTTATCCTCATCTTTTATAACAGGGTAGAGTAAAGCAGGACCAGGCTATTATACTAATTTTGTCCATGAAGTCACTTTCCATGGCATTGTCTAAGGCAATTAATTCTTACTACTGCCTTATCTATTCTGGATTGCCTTAGCACACAGAAACACACATCAGAACTGGGGTTCCCCTGCACTAGGTGCAGTCCATGGAAGATGCAGACCCTCTCAACTATCTTTGGCAACATATGACAGCAGAAAGAATAGGGATACACTCAAGTCCCTTCTTCTTCCTTTTCTTTTATTACATGGAGCCTTGACTTTACTATTTAAGAGATTTCCCTCTGAGGAAAGAAGCTCACCACAGAATTATATCCATTTATAAGATATACAACACTTTTTCTTGCAATTCTGCTTCTTGCATATCTAACAGTTATGCTGGAGCAGATCCTGCCTCTAGCTGCCC